CACATGTACCCCAAAACCTAAAATGCAATAAAAATTTTAAAAAAAGAAAAAAAGAAAATGGCAAATAGAAAGCATATAAGCAAAACTAACAGCTCCATTCCTTTAGTCTTTTTCTTTTTAAATGTTTTTCTAGAGCAAATCAAATAACAAGGAATAAGTCTGATCAAAATAAAATTCTATAATTTACCCATTTGTTTACTAAGAGATCTGCATTTTTCTCATAAGTGCAATTGTTTTGGGTGTTTTAAGTGGTACCAAAAGAAAATAATTTAACTCATGTCTCAGGTTTCACAATAATTTGCCTTCTCTAGTATTGTAAGGTTTAGATGTGTGCTTTCTTACAAGTTGTGCTTGCACATTAAATTTTAATGGTAGAAGTATTGCTTATGATCCTTCACATTTCACTCTAACCATTACAGAATATGATGCATACCCAAATTTAGAAAGCTTTGTAATAAAATTCAATTACAGGAACTATGCCCAGATTGTATTTTCCCCTTGACCATTTATTCTGTCTCAAGTCTTGGACAGATAGAGACTTTTAAATTTTATATTTGTTCTTCAATGGCGTGTATAAAAAATGCACTAAAAGCTGCCGCTCTTTCAACAACACCATGGTCACAGTTAGTTAAATATTTAATGCCACCAAGCACAAGGCAGGGCATGCAAGGAGCATGAACTGGACTATAAAACCACTGTAATGGGTTAGATCCCTTTAGTCCATGGTGAGTTCTGTACTGAAATGGTAGATGAGGGAGAAGTCTCATCAAGATGCAAGTTTGAATAGGAATCTGTCCTGCCACATCCCCTGACAACATTAATTATAGATCTCTAAACCTGATGTGTTTTGTTAATTTCTGGCATCACTTTACTAGTCTGCAGCCAAGCCAAACTATTAAGAGTGGCTTTAAATAATTCTGTTTTCCGGAGTGACTCTTTTTTATGTATTTTAAGTTTTGATAACTTACTGAGTCACTGATAAAAGCTTCCATTACTGATTTGCCATTAGTCATTGCATCTGTCCTTTGAAATTGGGACAATCTTTTTTGCAATAGTGGCAACATGCTGAAAGAAGGAAAAGGCTCTCTCTATGAGAAAATTCAGCTATTTTCTGTCAGGCATATGTCCTCAAATCAGAGAAAAAGGTGATAAATATAGCACAAAGACACTTTGTCTTATGAATAACATTATCTACGTTTTAAAGAAGACCCAAATGATCTTCTTCTTTTAAAGCTGAAATTTTGGCTTTAGTAGTGGCAACACACTATTTGTATATGAAAAGATGTTATATCCCAAAGGGGTTTAAAGCTCAAGTTCATAGTAAGACAGACATAAAATTGAATCTGTATCAATGTTTACCAATTGGGTTAAGTTATTTAATTTCTTTGATCTTTAGTTTTGTGGTTTATAAAATAAAAAAGATGGTACCAAATTTTGCATTTGCTATGCCGACTACATAATATCACACACAGAAAGTAATTATCACAATTCTTGGCCCATCACAGTCACTAAATATCAGCTTAAAAATGAAGTGCTGCTTCATAAAATATAAAATATCTTCCTAAGATTTCTGTGGACACAGTCCTCTTAAATGTGAATCCAAGAAGTAAATGTTATAAAAATCTTCAGAGCAGTTCTTACTGAATACTCAAAACTCTTTCTTTCATGGTGATCTTTGTGATGGATGCTTGGAGTAATATTGCATTGATAAAGTGTTCAATATTAACTGAAAAACTTCTAAGCTCAATCAGGTTTTATTATTTTCTACCATCTTCTCTATCCTCTGGAGTGATACTATTAGTTATGGGCTATAGCAAGATCAAGCTGGATTTTCTAGACCATCTTCATTTGCTCTCTCTCTCCACATCTGAGCTCATGTCTCCCCATCATGTGTATCAAGCTCCTTACTGCAAGGCTGTACTGAAAAAGAAAGAAAAGCCTTCCTTCTGGGCACTGACCTGACCTACTTCCTTTTTTCATAATTCTGTTTTTCTTTCTATTGCAATATTGACCAACATCCTGATGATAACAGTGTAGAGAAAGACACTATCCATTTTCTGCTCTGGATTTGAAGGTGGGCTGTCCAGCTGTATTATCTCAGTGTAGAGGAAGACCAAGTTCAAGCACTAGGTTCCTCTTGAAAGGCAGATCACAGAGTCACTCTGGAGCAGTATTTAGAGTAGAATCAGGTGGACAAAAAGAATCTGGGGCTGAGGTTAAGTTGGGTAGAAATCAGTAAAAAATAAGGTGGGAAAAAAGAAGTCAAGAATAATGTTAGGGGAGTGGATCAGACTTTCTAGTGGATCCAAATCACATAATTGAATGGTATCAGAATTGGAAAGTGTTTTTTTTTCTTTAATATATTATATTTTTTTAGGTTAGGAACAGACTCTAAACTGAATCAGCCTGGAAAGAAAGCAACATGGTTATCTTCATCAAAATTGTTATGATTATCATCATTATCATCATATTTTCAGAAAACAAAACAGATTAGCGTTGCATTGAAATGGTTCAAACAATAAAGTAAAACTTGCTTGTTATTGTGTAATCTTTATTTAGCAAGTGATTTATTGATTTGAGATATAATTTTAATAATATAAAATTTTACATAAAATTTACCATATTAAGGGCTTCACTTTAGTGGTTTGAGTATCCTCTCCCTCTCCACATAGCTATACGATCTGATTATTTTATTATTTAACCATGTATTAAAAACTTCTGGATAGTTTCAATTCAAATTTGACTCCTAGTTGTGTTAGTTTCTTATTGTTGCTCTAACAATTTGGCATAAATTTAAAGTCTTTAGTGGATAATTTGTTTCCTGGCCCATTCCAATTTCTACAGGCCCCTGCATCCTTTGCTTGTATGGTCCCGTCTGTCAGTCTGTCATCTCAAATCCAGCAGCATAGCATCTTCAAATCTCTCTGTGACGGTCCCTCTTGCCTCCATCTGTTACTTATAAGAAACTTTCTGGTTACATTTGGGCCCCCCCAGATAATTCAGAATAATGTCTCTATGTCAAGATTCTTAACTTAATCACATATGCACAGTCCCTTTTGCCATTTATGGGAACATTCACAGGTTCTTGGGATTGGGACATGCACGTCTTAGAGGTGTTGGGTGATTATTCAGCCTACCACACTGAGATTAATGTTTATATTTTATATCACATAAATCATATTATTGTGGTATTTTAAATTCTTCAAGATTTTTAATCTATATGAAATTTTTTGAATACCTCTCTGAATTTCATAGCATATGAAATTTAAATAGCTCTTCTTAAAATATGTTAATTACCTAGGGAGTTTATATGCTTTCAAGCTGTGTAAATTCCATCTGAAATGCATTCATTTTTCCAATAGCTACAAAAATATGTCTATATCACATTATATGCGAGTTTTTATCTGTGTTACTGAAAATTTGGAAGTCTTTGGGGATGGCCATCTATTTCATCAATTCTTTCTTTCCTCTTCTTCCTCCTCCTTTTTCTTCCCCTAATCCCTTCTACCTTTCAGAGTACCCTGAAATCTCAAAATTCATCTTTTTCTCTTATAGAAAGCAGTTTATCTTTGAAAAACATCAAGTAAAAACTTGAAAAACTACATCAAATTACATTAAAACAAGGGACCTCTATTTAAGAAATTTGTGTGTTTATTTAAAACCACTGTGGCTATTGCTGGCAAAATAATGTTTACTTCCAATTATAAATACAATGCTATAATTTATTTTAAATAAAAATTGTAATCATAGATAATTCAAAAATGGTACTAAGCATTTCTGTTATTTGGGTGCATATTTGATATAGATATTTGAGTAATATCTTACTGGCATTCATCACTTATTAACTCAGCTTGCTTTTATTAAGTACTCACTGTGTACCAGACACTTTCTAACTGTAAAGCCAGTAATGAGAAATAAAACCTGAAGTCTTATTTCATTGGCTTACATATTTTTTATTGATCTACTTTAGCCATTTGCCATTCAGAACTTTGATTTGCTTATAGCCTTTGGTGAATTGTCTAGCAACTAACCCTGGGTCATGGTCAAGGTAAATGGATATCAGTAGCAGGCTTGAGTTTGACACTACTATAAATGGTGTTCATTACCTTAATCCCAGTTGCCATGTAAATAACCATGTTGAAATAAGGTATTTCTGAGAGACAAAAATGATTTTCCAAATAAGCCTCATGAAGGCAAACACTGAACACAGTGAGAGCTCAGAAATTTCAGTTTCTTTCTTTTTCTTTTTTTTTTTTTGAGACTGGGTCTTGCTCTGTTGCCCAGTCTGGAGTGCAGTTACACAGCCTCAGGTCATTGCAACCTCTGCCTCCTGGGTTCAAATGATTCTTCTGCCTCAGCCTCCAGGGCAGCTGGGACTACAGGCGAACACCACCACACCCAGGTAGTTTTTGTATTTTTAGTAAAGATGGGGTTTCAACATATTGGCCAAGCTGGTCTTGAACTCCTGACTTGTGTTCCACCCACCTCAGCCTCCCAAAGAGCTGGGATTACACGTGTGAGCTACCACGCCCAGCCAGAAGTTTCAGTTTCTTTATGCATCTACAGTTTATATGCACCTCGAAACCAGAGCTTTAAGCTCGTGGGTACCATGTCTCTCTTGCTCATATAACTTCCTCTCTGCTCAGCATATAAAAAGTGATACAAATTAAAATATTTTTGAATGATTACATAAATACACATATGAAATGTGTGATATTTTTCCTTCCCAAATAATTTATAAACTAGTCATCCATAAAAATGATTAGGATTTTTTCTGTTTTTATTTACTATTCATTCATTTTATAAGTATTTATCAGCATTATGCTAGTTTCTTTCTACCCTTTCTTTTGCATCTTTATGCCCACATAAAACGGGGCTCAGTACACAGTGGATACACAGTAAATGTTACTGATTGACTGAAAGACATCCTATTATGAGGCCATTATTACTGGAGTTTGCAGGTTTCTTTTCCTAATTTTAAAATGCCTTTTTCATTTTAGATAACCCCAGGTAACTGTCTCACCACATCAGTCTATTGATTCTCACTGCACGGAGTGAAGAAGAAACCACCAGATCAGGTATTGTCTTCAGTACTAAAAGTTATTCACTCAAAATTAATATGTGTTATGCATTTCAGAGAGGAACACTGAAAATATTCTTATAATTGAACATGAGGCAATTGATTTTGGAAGTTACTAGAAGTTAAAAGCCTCTTTTTTTTTTTTTTTTAAAACACAAGACCTCTTCTGTGGAAAACAAACTATTTATACAAGGACTTTGAAGGTTTCTACATTGCCACGTACACCACCTAATAATTACCCTATCAACACATATTCTGTCTAAATGTCTTCAGTCCTAGTCCTTCTAATGTAATCTGGGTGTTCATTGTTCTGTTTGATATGCACCAGAAGCCCATGGCATCTTCTTATTTCAATCAGGATTTAAATGCATTGTCAGTTGAAATAAATACAACACTGATTTGTTGAACAGATGTTTCCCTTAAATGTGAAAATGTAGGGGCTAAAACCACAAATCAACCCCAAAGCTCACAGTCTTTGCATGCATTTTTCAAGAAGGTGAGATAAAAATTATTGTCTAGTGAAAATCAGGAACTTATGAAAGTTGTAAGGATCTGTGACCTGCAAAATAATGTCATTTTGAAGTAGTTCAACTACCTACTCTGCAAAATGAACAAACTACTATAGTATGTCTGTAAAATGAAATATTTACCTTTAAAGATATTGAATTTGTCTGAAAAATGAGGAAAACATTGAAAAAAGAAACAGTATTATTCCTTAGTATTTTTAACTGGAATTTCTAATTCTACCCCATGAGAATAATTTAAAAATACAATGTATGTATCAATGATTCATAGTTAAGAAAAGATTTGAGGCCACGGTGATTTTCTTTTCTTCTCTCTCTTTCTTTCTATAAAAATTTTATTTAAATAAATTTTGTCATAATTCTTTTTCTTCAAACTTCACAGATACTTGCTGAGAACAGATAGTGAATAAAGCTGCAAAATAAAAATGAACATCCCAGACTGGCGCTGGGTTCTTAGTTAGCTAATATCCCAGGAAACTGTTTCATCTGTGAAAGACTGTTTTTAAGGCAAGGCAGCCCTAAAACCCAATTTAGATGCAAGTTACATCACTTCAAGAGTTACAGCAAGATTTTCTGAATATAACAGTCTCAATCATAGGGCCCACTGTGTGGTGATCCCTTCTTTTTTGATTGAATTACTTAAACAGTTATTAATAAAACAGATGAGTATCTTTGAATTATAAGAAGACATCCAGCTACTGACCTGCGCAGGGTTTGTAGAGACACACTATCCAGATCTCTTCAGATTATTGGGCCATGAGTCTAATCTGCTCCAGTAAAGCTTTATTCATATGCAATCAGAAGATTAAAATGAAGCATCTTTGGAGTCAATGTGCATTAATTAGTTAGTAGTCTTCTTGGTGGAGGAGGGTGGCATTACTGTTTCATCATTCTTTCCCTATTTCATATCTTACCACTTCCCCAAAACATACACATTTGTTACTGCTTTTGACTATAGCAGTTCACTTAGCATATGCTGTTATTTGTTTTAATGTCATTAACTTAGCTAAAGTCTTTCAGCCAAGCTTACATTTGAAAAATCAAATAAGGAAATAAAGTAATAGTGTTTCACAGAGCATACAATTGCTTCCATGATTCTGGGCAAACCTAAAACTCTCCTTCTTCCTACTCACTGGATGAAACTTGTCTGCTGGAGAAAGACTAGTTCCTCTTAAAGAGAAATTTACTTTCCTTGGGTTTAAAATTTTTTTTTAATATATATCACACAAAGAGATCTATATATTTTCATTGCTCCATTTGATAGCTATCTGATTATTTGAATCTCCTTATAGGAGATTTATCATATTTATCATAGGATAAATACAGCATAAAGTTATAGACATGTAGACAGGTTCAAGCCCCACCCTTGCCTTTTACTACCTGTGGCTCATGAGCAAGCTAGTTAAATTATTTGTGCTAGAGCTTATGCATTTCTGGGTTGGGAATAATAGTATTACCTAAAAGAGTTTTTCTAAGGATTGAAGTAGAAAATACATTTTAAGCTCTTAGTATACTAGGTCACACAAAGCTAGCACTCAAAAAATGCAAGCTGTATCACAAAGCTGCTCAGATTATTAGAGTGATACACACACACACACACACACACACACACACACACAGTTGGCATAGGTAAAAAGAATGGCTTATCTGCTTTCAAGTCATTGGAATTGAAAAATTTTTAATACCAAAAGGGCACTGAATATAGCTTGAAGTTTGAAATTTGTAGTGTCTCAGGTCTTTATTGCTATTGATTATCATTATAATCACAGAAAGTTAGTAGTACGGAATGCTCCATATATGGAGCTCAATATTTGAGAAAGCCATGGTAAAAATAACCACAGATATCATCTAGCCTAAAGATCTTTCAGACTGGATATTATTTATTTATTTTGATTTGGTTTGGCTTCTTCTGTAGAACTATATCATATATAAGAGCTCTGTAAAGAGAGCTTATCTGTGTAGGGATGAGGGTTGTTCAGATTCTTGTCTGTTCAATTCCACCAAAAAACCATCCTTGAGTTTTCTCTGAAGATCTCCCAGTGCTTAGAGAACACAAGTTTAAGAACACTGACCTATTTTGGTCCCATAATTTTTAGAATGGAGAAACCAAAGCTAAGAATAGTGAAGTAACATACCCAAGGCCACACCAGAAGAGGGCAAGTCTAGGTATGCTGATTCCCAACTGTGACCTCGTTCTGACTTTTCAGTAGATTATAGTGAAAGTTTAGGACAGTAAATATGACTTTGGAAAATGTGGCTTTCTCTCCCGCTTTACCAATTATTTTTGAAAAAAACTTTTTACTTTATTATTTTTAAAAAATGTTTAATTTTCATAGGTGATTGGGGAACAGATGGTGTTTGGTTACATGGGTAAGTACTTTTTTGGTTACATGGGTAAGTTTTTTAGTGGTGATTTTTGAACTTTTGGTGCATCCATCACCCTAGAAGTATGCACTGTACCCTATTTGAAGTGTTTTATCTTTCACCCCATTCTCACCCTTTCCCCCAGAGTCCCCAATGTCTATTGTGTTATTCTTATGCCTTTGCATCCTCATAGCTTAGCTCCCACTTATGAGTGAGAACATATGATGTTTGCTTTTCCACTTCTGAGTTACTTCACTTAGAATAATAGTCTACAGTCTCATCCAGGTCACTGTGAATGCCATTTTTTTTTTTTTTGAGACGGAGTTTCACTCTTGTTACCCAGGCTGGAGTGCAATGGCGCAATTCTCGGCTCACCGCATCCTCCGCCTCCTGGGTTCAGGCAGTACTCCTGCCTCAGCCTCCTGATAGCTGGGATCACAGGCACGCACCACCATGCCCAGCTAATTTTTTGTATTTTTAGTAGAGATGGGGTTTCACCATGTTGACCAGGATGGTTTCGATCTCTTGACCTCGTGATCCACCTGCCTCAGCCTCCCAAAGTGCTGGGATTACAGGCTTGAGCCACCACACCCAGCGTGAATGCCATTAATTCATTCCTTTTTATGACTGAGTAGTAGTTCATTGTGTGTGTTTGTGTGTATGTATACCACCGTTTCTTTTCCACTCATGGATTGATGGGTTTGTTTCACATTTTTGCCATTGGGAATCGTGCTGCTCTAAACATATGTGAGCAAGTATCATTTTTGTATAATGATTTCTTTTCCTCTGGGTAGAAACTCAGTAGTGGGATTTCTGAATCAAATGGTAGTTCTACTTTTAGTTCTTTAAGGAATCTCCATACTGTTTTGCATAATGGTTGTACTAGTTTTGCATTCCCACCAGCAGTGTAGCAGTGTTCCTTCCCTGTTGGCATCCACACCAATGTCTACTATTTTTATCTACTATTATTTATTTATTTATTTATTTATTTATTTATTTATTTATTTTCTTTTTGAGATGAAATCTCTTACTGTCACCCAGGCTGGAGAGCAGAGGCACAAAGTCGGCTCACTGCAACCTCCGCCTCCAAGGTGCAAGCAATTCTCCTATCTCAGGTGCAAGTAATTCCCCTGAGTAGCTGGGATTACCGGCACCCACCATCATGGCCAGCTAATTTTTTGTATGTTTACTAGGGACAGGGTTTACCATGTTGTCCAGGCTGGTCTCAGACTCCTGACCTCATTATTCGCCTGCCTTTGGCCTCACAAAGTGCTAGGATTACCAGCATGAGTCACCACACCTGGCCAACATCTACTATTTTTTTACTTTTTGATTATATGAACATTCTTGCAGGAGTAAGGTGTATTGCATTGGGTTTTGATTTGTGTTTCCCTGTTCATTAGTGATGTTGAGCATTTTTTTCATGTTTGTTGGCCATTTGTATATCTTTTTTTGAGAAATGTCTATTCATGTTCTTATTCTACTTTTTAATAGGACCATTTATTTTTTTCTTGATGAGTTGTTTGAATTCATTGTAGATTCTGGATATTAGTCCTTTATCAGATGTATAGATTGTGAAAATTTTTTTTCGACTTTGTGGGTTGTCTGTTTTTTCTACTGGCTGTTCCTTTGGCCATGCAAAAGCTCTTTAGTTTAATTAAGTCCCAGCTGTTTATTTTCATTTTTATTGCATTTGCTTTTGGGTTCATGGTCATGAAATCCTTGTGTAAGCCAATGTCTAGAACGTTTTGTCCAATGTGATCTTCTAGAATTTTGATAGTTTCAGGTCTTAGATTTAAGTCCTTAATCCATTTTGAGTTTATTTTTGTTTAATGTGAGAGATGAGAATCCTGTTTTATTTTCCTGCATATGGCTAGTCAATTATCCCAGTATCATTTGCTGAAAAGGTTGTCCTTTCCCCACTTTATGTTTTTGTTTTATTTGACTATAAGTATTTGGGTTTATTTCTGGGTTCTCTATTCTGTTCTGCTGTTTATGTGCCTGTTTTTATATCAGTACCATGCTGTTTTTGATGACTATGACCTTGTAATATAGTTTGAAATCAGGTAATGTGATGCCTCCAGATTTTTTTTTTGCTTAATCTTGCTTT